AGTTTTGTCGTCTTTGGCCGAATTTTGGTTACATCTCCCAAATGTCCGCCGAAATTTTAATTAAAAAAAGAAATGGAAAAGTATACTTTTAAATTATGATTTGTAAGCAATTAGGTTGATCGTTAGTGTTTTTTTTATTGCCCCACAAGAAAAACATCATTTATCAAAATATACTTTGAAAAAATTATCAATTGTAATAATCAAGAACATTCTTCTTTGTAGCTTATTTTATACTGATACTTTGACTTTTAGTATTTTGTTATTGTAACAAAACAATATAAGTAATTTTGTTCATTGAGCCAAATAACACAAAATTTAACCGAATTTCGACCGAACTTCGGCACATATTCAAACTGAACGATCGGCTGAATTCGACATTCGTCAGGATCCACATTCTGTGCAACACTACTAATTAGTTCTTAGCAATAATTTCATTGACCGGTAGGTATAATTTAACATTTACGTAGCATAAAACCAAGTTCGTTCATGAGCTAAGATCATTACGCCTCATCATGGTTTTGTTATTTATTGAACGAGTTACATTCACAAATCACAATCTCACAAAGGTCAGCGTACAGCGTCAACTTAGCCAAGTATTTTGACGCTTGACTGAGCTCAATGATTAGAATAGGAGGTAATTAAAGGCCGCACATTGGCGCAGGCAATCTTATGATATAGATAGAAGCAGAAAAAGCTAAGAAAGCTAAGCAGAAGATAGCTAAGAAGATAATTTCAAAATACTTAAGATCGTACAAAATAATTAATAATAGGAGAACGAACGAACTATCTTTCATAAAAGTTGCAAAAAGGAATGGTTAATAATAATTTATGTAACTTTTGTATAATGAGGGGTTATCCACCCAAGTTCACCTGGATGTAGATACCAAGGGAAATTATTAAGTCCCGTAGTTCACCTCAAGATAACTGGGTGTACCCCGTGGTTCTCCTTTTTAAAAATTATAGGAATCTATTATCTGAAGGGCCAACAGTTTCTGCTTACGTTTGGGATTTCTTTGAATTCGCGCCTTCACAGCTTTTATCACTGCTGGAGTCCTAACAGACCGAGGGCGACCACTTTTTGACCTGTCATCTACACTGGAGTCTTCATTGTATCGTTTGATGGAACGATAAACGAATCTTTTGGTTATATTCAAATTTTTCAGTATGTCAAAAAATTTAATTGGCGCGTAACCGCAACGATGCAACGCAATACCTGCAACACGGTGTTCTTTAAGCATCCACTCCATATTTAAAAATGAGTAAAATTCTAAAAAGTTTACATTTTTATTTTCATGAACAATTCGAAATTTGGTCTTCCGCCGTAGATTTACGAACCGATAGCGTAGCTTCTAGACCTTCATGAGTTCTTGTAACAGCTTTGAAAACATCAATTAATCGCTATTTCTTTTGACGTGACAACGTCTTAAATTAGGTTGCGGCTGGGAGTCACTTATGAAAAAGTGTAACGCTCGGTAACGTTACGATGAGTCTCTCGTGTTAAGTTTAAGTTTACATGTACAATGTTTTAGTAAACAAAATATATTTCTATAGTTAAAATTTGTGCAATTCTTATTTTCATTCAATTCCTTGTTCCTATTGTGCAATTTAATTATATTCATATCAATAAATATTCTACCGAGAAAAAGACGTTGTCACGTAAAATCTTCGCCCGTAAAACCGACTTTACAGGCAACCATTTTTTTTGACGTGACAACGTCTTAAATTAGGTTGCGGCTGGGAGTCACTTATGAAAAAGTGTAACGCTCGGTAACGTTACGATGAGTCTCTCGTGTTAAGTTTAAGTTTACATGTACAATGTTTTAGTAAACAAAATATATTTCTATAGTTAAAATTTGTGCAATTCTTATTTTCATTCAATTCCTTGTTCCTATTGTGCAATTTAATTATATTCATATCAATAAATATTCTACCGAGAAAAAGACGTTGTCACGTAAAATCTTCGCCCGTAAAACCGACTTTACAGGCAACCATTTTTTTTTGAATGTTTAATACTTGTAAAGGTATTTTGTTTGACATTGTGGGTTACCTACAATGCAAAGAGATGGAGCAGAAATCGAAAAAAAAACTACTTTGTCGACCGAAAAATCGTGGTTTCACAGAAAACTTGCGATATTCCGAGAACGGGGCCGAATTTCAAAAATATGAAAAAAAACACGTTGTCATTACTCTTTTTTCGATATTGGTAACGGTTGAAGCTGTAGATGTGCCCTTAGCCGCGAGTTTTGCGTAGAGCGAGGTGCGATATCACGCGGCGGGCAGTTCGCGTGCGACCATGAAGAAGAGCTCAAAAGACGCGGAATTCGAAGGACTTTAAAATGATGTAAAAATATTTAGGAAAGGTTGTTTTTTTAATAGTCTATAATAGGTAGATTCATTATCAATGCCCTTTCAATTCATGCAGAACATGAGATTTGTTTTTTAACGTTGAAAATAGTTTCACATGTGTACTATGACGTCCGTTTTGTGTTTCTTGTTCAATTTTGTATTTCTGTGTGATCAGCCCAAGTAAGATTAAACATTAAATTCAAAGTTAAGTATTCCAGAATAACAAAGACGCAACTAATAAATACTTAAGGAGCTGTTGTCGTTGAAGTTAAGCAACTTTCGCAGTGGACAGTCATTGGATAGGTGATCAAAAATTTACTATCTCGAGCTCCTCCGTGCTTCGTAAGGCACGTTAATACGTCCCGGCTACATCTGCAGTCGTTAGCACCTACTAATCCGCAAGGGGCCCGCGTGGTAGGTCATAGCCCAATCTCCTTATTTTTCAATTCAATTCATTTATTCCATTTAACAATATAATTGTGTTGGAAATAATAATAATTCAAAATAAAATAAAAGCAGACATAAATAAAATAATAAATCAAATTACAAATTTTTGATGTCAAAGTGGATTATTAAAATTGTAACAAATAATTCATCATTCATTCATTTCATCCATAAGGAAAGCCTGTGCCCCAGCAGTGGGGAAATTAATAGGCTGGTGATGATGATGATGATAAACTAAGAAAAATGGACAGAGCGCTGACCTGAAATATTAAATCCGAGGTACTATTACTTACGTAGGGAAGCCCATATGGAGATTTTGGGATTTACTCGAGCGCTGCAAAATAACTCTAAAGTTCCTCTAAAGTTTCCCTAAGCGGACAACCTTGCACCTTGTGAAGTACTGCCAACATACTTGAGCCCTCTATGTAGATTTTAGAGCAGAAGAAGAAAACAAAAAACGGCTACTATTTTTGGCCGCGTCCAATTGAGGCCATGAGAACCTTAGCGGCCTAACTCATTTTTTTAACCATAGTGGCCTATCTTACTTGGCCAGTATGGCACCTCAAATTTAGATCACAGACTAAAAACCGTAACAGTGATTATGCTGCCATCTAGTGAATATTCGTTGTATCACTTTTAGACTACTCTGGTTCTATCAAAATGATCAATTTGAACTGGAGAAAATCATAAACTCAATATTGTAAAAAAATGAGTTAGGCCACTATGGTTCTCCTCAATTCATCAGTCTTTTGAATAGGAACTACCGGAGGGTTAACCCAACGATTCAGATAACGCAATATTTTATCAAAGTAGTCTACGTATAATGTATGTCTACTTTGATAAACTATTGCGTTCGTGAAGCTGGCAGACCCTTATACCGGGCATAAACTGGGCCGAACAGGTGAATTATCAGACGATTATCGCAATAAAAATAACGTATCCGGTATTATCGACCGATAATGGTGTTGTTTCTTCCATGGTTCTCTAAATTTAACAACATGCTGTATACAGCATGACAAGAATACACTAATGTCAAATTTAAGTTTAGGTTTAGAGAATCACTCCAGAATCGACACCAATAACGCACTTATGTGGGAGAGCCTTTTTAACTAAAATGTATTGCGATGACAGACGTCATCTTACTGGCACTCAGTGTTGCCAACACGGAGTTTTTAGAGCTAGATTTAGCTCTAAGTCAGCCTGGTTAGCTTTAAAAAAGTAGGTCTAGCTCTTTAGCTCTACTTTTCTACAATTTAAGCTTTTTTTTCCATTTACACTATGAATAAATCGTTTTGTATTATTATTAGCTCAAAATACTTGAATCCATAGTCAAAATATACCTAGGTACATTGTTTATGGTCGGTCTATAGTTATTATATGATGGTACCCACTGAAAATGCGGGTTTAATTCTAAAAAAGGTGATCTATTTAATCATATAAAAAGAAAAAAACACCTTAGAGTAGCGCAACCATTTTCAGCGGAATAATCAAAATTAAGTTTTTCTCCGAAACCGATAATTGGTTCTGGGACAAATTCCGCTGAAGGATCATTGGCCCTTTTTATAAGCGCTCATACTTCAGTATTACCTGTCAATCGCCTTGGTGTAATATGTAATAAACAATTCAAAGATGCCGAAAACTTAAAATCACACAGAACCAAATGTAGTGTTACCATAAAGAATGTTCCAAGTCCGCATTTTATAACCGAATTAAAAAGAGATATAGGCGATGGACCATTCAGTTTGTTTGCTATAAGATGAGACTGATATCAGTATTACTAAACTGCTCGGTTAGTAGTGCAGTATTACAGCAAAAAAAGATTTGAAATAGTTTCGACCTTAGCCAAAATAAATAAAAGTGATGCCGAATCCATTACAAACGTTGTTCATATTGATTTTTAATAAATGGTACATAAAAATAATTTAGCTCTTTTTTCTACAAAAATCTAGCTCTTTTATAGCTTTTTTTTAGATATGATCTAGCTCCCTTTAAAAATCCGAGGTGGCAACACTGCTGGCACTTGAAATTGTCAAGTCAATTGAAATGTCAATGAAATTCATTGATGTTTGGGAAATGTGCACTGTTTTGTTAGAATACATATTATTGCGACACTAACAATACCATTTTAAACTATTTCCAATGATAAGTTTTACAGTGTTATCAATTAAATAACAAGTTTCCCTAAAATTTCCATTTTTTACGCATCAAAAATGACCAGTTTTCATGAAAGACAGAAGAGCCTTTTTAATCAACTCAAAGATGCCGAAGAACAGTATAGCTTTTCTAAATCAAATAAAGTTTCAGCAGAGCAAGACTTCGGAGCAATAGATAGGCATACATACAGAAAAGTAAAGCATGAAATGAAACAATTTAGAGGACGAGAAAGTATATTCAAAAGGCCTGAAGCTAACTTAAGAGAATGTTTACGAGCTAAGTCAGTACCAGACTACATGAAAAATCCAAAGAAATGGGTTTATTATTCACTCTCAGATGTGACACCAGATCAGATGTCCGATTCTACCAACACAGCCACAGCCTTGGCATTAATTCGAAAAATGGAGGAAAAGGAAACAACTGACACTAATATGGAAACTAACAGCAGCCAAGATGACTTTGTTTTCAAAAAACCTACTTTCCGTGTTTCCTCTGCTGTCAAAAGAACTACCAAACCAGAAAATGTAAATCTAACACTTACGAAAAATAATAAAATTATCATGCCAGAATATGTTGTAGGAGTAACAAAGAAAAAGGAAAAGAAAAATAAACTACCAAATCATAAGTCGCAAGCTAACCCTGATGAAAAAGCTAAAAAAGCAGATTTAAAGTTGGATCACCTCTTCGAGGATGGCTCTGAATAACTTTTTCTTCATATTTGTAATATTATTACTTAAGTATTTAGTAATAAAAATTTATGCTTAATACATCAAAATTTTCTAATTTCCCTCTATTCAAATATGCTTGAAACTAGTAAATGAGATCAATTATTTAATTAAATTATTCTGGATATGTCTATGATAAGAATGTCAAATGCAACAAATAAAAATTATCCATGATAAAAAGGTGGTAAGGGCTATTAAATAATGTATGATATAGGTAGGTCAAGGAAAGTTAATGAAAAGAACAATATTCTTTTACGGCAGTATAATTTATTCAATCCTTCAATACAAAATGTATATATCAACACTGTGATATAATTGCAGAATCAGACTTTATTTCCAAATTGTCAGATTGATTGTCTGTTTTATTTTCAGAGGCGAATGCACTCAAATCACGCATCATGGAGTATGCATCTTCACCATCTGCATAATATTTAGGTTCAATTTCAAGTATTTTAAAGCCAAGTGAATTTGTGTAAAGGTTTAACGCAGCTCTGTTACTCTTCCTTACATGTAGGGACACATATTTGGCCTGAAACAATGTAAAACTCTGTACAATCAATACCTATAAAATTTTGTAGCCAAAAGATTTTTGCAAATAAAATAATTTTATACAGATTTTATTAAAGGTTGCAGTTACTATGTAAAGTTGCATCAATTATGTGGAATAAAATAGCATTCATCCATTCACCTCTCAAAGACTTGACTCACTAAGGAAAGAATGAAATTCAAACCTGACATACAAATGAAATTTCATCAATTCCACAGTGTTTACCTGAAAGCACTCCACCATAGCAAGTGAAGCTTGATTCATTAATTTTTGAGCAAGACCAAGCCGACGGTGTGATCTTTTCACTGCAAGAGATGTTATGTGGCCGTGACGATTGTCTTCACCATCTTCTTCCATTTTAGCCAAAACATACCCTATAAAAGACAAAATTAACAATAAAATTAGTAGTTCCCTGCAACATAAGATAATGCAGGAGGTATTTCAATAGTCAGTGTGAAGTAAATTGTTATTTTAGTGAATTTTAGTATTCATGCTATGATATATGAATATGATATAAGAAATAAGAGGTAAAGAAAACTATTTGTAACTGTAACTATGTCAACTTACCAACAATGTGTCCTTTTTCATCTTCAGCCACATAACTGAGCTGAGGCCATGATAGACCATGATAGAAGTAATATTTCATTTGATAGTTCTCTGGCAGGCAAAGTAGATTACAATGCTGCATATTCATCAAATCACTAGGGCGTGCACAGCGGATATTCATTTTGATCTCTAAAAAATTTTAAGACAAACCAGTTACTTTATTACACCTGGACAGATAAATTGGTTTTACCGATAAATCAAATATATATTTATTTTCAATTATCATTACTCTCCTCAACAAATGGAATTAGTTAAACCCCATATGTCATCATATCAGATGCACTTAAAATTTTTAGTTGTCTCAGGCTCCCACTAGGGATCTCTCAGGGACTTCAATTACTTTGATATAAGGTCAGTTTTATAAAAAATATAATATGTAGATAAGACAGTACCACATGGTATTTAATTTACAATTAAAGTTACATACTTGTAGTACAGATATGAAATAATTTAATCTCTCCTGACTTTTCTTAATTTATTAGGCTGTCTTGTTTCAGATGCTGGAGGGGTATCTGACATACCACCAAGCAATTCCCTTACGAATCGGAACTTAGAAAGACAGCACTTCCACACTATATACCAACCTAAAACAAAGAACAAAAGCATTTTTGTAGATGTTTCAATACACAGCTAATAAAAACAATTTATAGATTAATATCACAGTTAATATCTTCCACTACTTTATTATAAATATTTATTACTACTTACAAACCAATACAAAGACAATAACTAAAAAAATACTACATAGTAGTGTAAATATTGCTAAGATAACTTCCTTCATAATATCTCACTAAACTTGAGCCTAATAATATACACAAAAATAATCCATTAACTAATAATGAATAACAACTTATTTATACTTAATTAACAGTAAGTAAATTATGATCTTATAAACGTCAATGTACGATGTTTATAATTGCTACATGTAAAAGTAACACGCCATTTTGGACCCTAGATCATAAAGTTAATATTTCACTTTGGCTTTGGAAATAAAATCAACAACCCAGTCATTATTAAATGATCCTAATTTGTGAAATACCTTTTTATTGCTCGTACGGTGCAAATAATTTATGTTATTTCAGAATATTTGCGAAAATAAGAATTATTTTTTAATTTTCTAACCTATACAAGAATGACAGTGACAGTTACTTTTTTTTATAAAATTCTCATTGTTGGGGAAGACAAAAAATATGAAGATCATGCAGGCTTGTCTTTATTTTTGTTTTTTGTTATACATTACACACAATACACTGCTGTAAGTGTGGTAGTTTTCCAATTACAGAGCATAATGCGCCACTGAGTCGCACAATTCAATTAATTATGCTGATGCATAATTGGAACGTGAATTAGTTTCCAAATTCACCAGCAGAGTGCGCTAAGTCAATGTTTGTACCTTCATCCATACTTATATTTGTTTTTTAACACAGTTTAAATTAGCCTTGATTATTTTAAAAAAAACTACAATGAAATATTTTTTATGTAATATACATTTTCATTTAATATGAATTTTTCAACAATAAATATTATTACTAACGATAATATTTAATAAAACATTTCGATAAATGCCAACTTAAAGAAAAAACACTTATTAATTTTCTGTCCCTAAGTTGGTAAATTGCACGCATCACACGAAAATAGCGGTGGGTCGTTCTCAAATTTTTTGACGACGAAACGCAATCGTTTTCTCTTAAACGAAAACTAGTCATCTAAACAGTTCTCGTTCGCAACTGGTTTTGGTTGCGGCTGGGTGACGCAGCGAAACGACACGCGACGCGAGACGGTCGAACGAATGTAACGCAACGAAACTGAACTAAATGAAATCTTGTTCACGTTCGTTTCGTTGCTGCGAACGAGACGACGAAACATCGAAATAAATGTAGTGTTATACGATAATCGACTTTATATGTTCACTAATAAAGATTATATTATTGTAAAATCAAAGCTTAATTGTCATAGAACGAAACGGCCTCATGCAATTATATGAATTCTATTATAGACTGTATTTACTTCAAAATAAAGTATATATTGGCGTGCAGATAATTCGAGGACTAGTTGTTCGACGAAGACTGTTTTGATCCGAAACGTAAAACGGTTCTATCGTCGCGGAACACAAAACGGTCCTTGAAACCGGTTCGTCTTTAGAACGCTCACACCTACACGAAAACATTACTTTTGAGAGTGCTCGATTGTGCGAAGCGTTGCTGTAGTTGAAACATTCAACGATAAGCATTATGCCGCATAGTGTGCTCTAGTTCTGATGATGAAACCCGATTTGTGTGACATCAACTTATACCAATTTCCTTTTCAGTATTTGTTAAACATTTCATACGTAATGCCTGAATGCAGAACTACATTTATTTATCCGATGAGTTGTGTTGTGAACGTCAGAGAGCTGTCTGTTTCATGAATTAATTATGGTTAGAGTAAGAACGTTGTCGACACATCGCGACACACAACTATGGTAGTTTTCCAATTACAGCATTATAGCGCATTATGCGGCATAATGCTTAACGTTGAGTGTACCAACTACAGCAACGCTTCGCACAATTGAGCACTCTCAAAAGTAATGCTTTCGTGTGATGCGTGCAATCGTACAGTCTGTCTATAAAGTCGTGACATTAAATGATGGCGCCACTAGTATGCATGTAGCAACCCTGTACAGCCTGACCAAAATGATTTTGATACTAGCAGTTCATTCAAGTAAAATAGGTAATTAATAAGATACAGTGATACAGTCGTATTTTGTTTCTGTTTTATATATAGTAGGTACCTATGCTTATAAAAAGTTTAGCCAAGCATATTTACTTGAATCAGAATAAAATTATTATAGATAAAATAATACTTTATGGTGTTATAGTGTGTAATGTTGGTGATTACCGTTGAGGTGCCATTGAGACCAGAGCCGTTAGGTAATCATCAATACACACCAGTATCATCATACGACGTTTTTTAACACACTTGTTAAGAAAATAATACTAAAAATCATTTTATAGTATATAAAAAGTTTATTTAGATAAACAATTTGTAAATGTGCAGTTAGTAAAATTAGTGATAGGTATCTTCACTAAAAGCATCTGGCCGTGGTTCTTTATGTGACCATTTCTTTCTTTGGTCGGCCTTGCCTGTTTTCCCAGGAGTTTCAAACTTTCCATCATTCTTAAAACCTTCGTTGACTATCCGACTCTCTGATTTTCCTGAAAAAAAAATTAAAAATTATTGACATGAAGCAATTAATTCAAAATTGGTTGAAAACCTGATCGAGTTGAATCATAATAACGTATCAAAAGAAATGGTCGTACTACAGTATTACCTATTTACAATGTAAATCTAACCTAAAAATGTGCAATGTAAACAATGCCTTTTTTGGTCTCAAAATCGTAAATTGAGTAAATTTGTAACTTCAGGCAGATTACAAACAAAAAGTAACACGATTACATACCCGTCATAGATGCTGTTCGCCCATAAACATCAACCAAATCCCACAAAATTCGTCCAGCTTGGTAGTCTTCGAAACATCGCTGGAAAACTTTAAAAATCACTTCCCGCGTGCCACTCCGATTTACTTACTTTACTCATTTTTATACCTTTCTGCGTAGTTTCGTCTTAATTTATTACAGTTTAATCCAAACAATAAAAAATACAAAAGGAAAACTGTTCCACAACTGAAACTCGATGACAGCTGATGTACATAAGTTTGGTGTTGCCAGACACATGAATAATGTTAGTTCCTCAAACATTAATGTCACGACTTTATAGACAAACTGTACCAACTCAGAGACAGAAAGTTAACAAGTGTTTTTTCTTTAAGTTGGTATTGATCGAAATGTTTTATTTATATGTAATCGTTAGAAATATTAATTATTGTTGAAAAATTATTAATACTTTCGTTTCATCACAGTTTTTTTTAAATAATCAAAGTTAATTCAAACTGTGTTAAAAAATAAATATAAATATGGATGAAGGTACAAACATTGCCTTTTTTTTAACACTGAATTTAGCGCACTCTGCTTGTGCATTTGAAAACTAATTCACGTTCCAATTAAGCATCAGCATAATTCGGCATTCTGCGCCACTGAGTCGCATTATGCTCTGTAATAGGAAAACCACCTATATTTCTAACCGTACTACATGTATTAAACCCGCGTCAGATCGCATCACAACACAACACATAAGATAAGTATAGTTCTGACTTCTACCTTGAGCGAAATGCACCGAGACGTTTATGCCAGGGAGTCAACTTGGAGTCAATTGCCTTATGCTATAATAAAATTCTTATTTAAATACTAAAACAGAATACGAACTTCCACTTTAATCAAAATAACAATTATTTTAAAGTTCCATTCATCAGTTCAGTTTCGTAGGCGATTGAGATAAAAAAATGTAAAAAAAACACAGGGCTTTTTTCTATAAAAAGTAACTTATGAATTGATAAAATATATTTATATTTACAAAGTAAAATTAACCGCCTCGCTGCGCCAAAAAAAACTGCGTGCAGACTGCAATTTAAGAACGTTGCGTTGGAAAGTTAACAATTAAAAAAATATTTGGATGGAAGATTTTGGCGGGATTTCATCGAGTGCGCTTAGCGTCTTATTTAAATTATTCTTAAATTAGTTTATAATGGATATTGTAAAATAAAATTTGTGTGATTTTGTGTTAAAACCATCTGCGCAATTGCAGAATTAGGGGAATCTTTGAAATACACGCTATTCCGGTCAACTGGACGTGAGAACTTTATTGTAGTGTTGAACTACCTCACAGAAACTTTTCAAAGAAGCCAACTCGATACATTTCGTGCCAAACACTCCAGGAAACATTAGAATACGTTACACCGACATGCTAATGTAAAAAAAAAAATTAGACTAGGTTGTATGGGCATTCTTCCCTTTGCCTTCCCTGAAAAGGGATATCTTGAAAAAAAAGAGACACTGTCAAGTTGACATAGTTGGGCAAATTTGGTAAATAAATAATATTTTGTTGAATTTTAGAATTCAGTGCAGATAATTATTTCTCACAATAGTTATTTGAATAAAAAAACTCAGTTTAATAATTATATACTTTAATCCAGTGCAAGCGAATATGGACGACGAAAGTCAAGATGATAAATTACTTAGTTCTCTTGCGTGAGTTTAAACTCCAATGATATTAAACTTTCTTAAACAAACAATTATATTCTATTTATATTTTTAAAAATTGTTTTCATTCTAATAGGAGACACAGAAGCCCTGTTTTCTCTAAAGAAGAAGTGAAATGTATAATCAGTTTAATAGAAAAATATAAAACTATTTTATTAAATAAATCAACAAATAATGCTGCATGTCACGCTAAAGAGATGGCTTGGACTAAATTAACAGAGGTATTTAACTCGCAAGGTTTCAAATACAACAGGAATACAGAAAGTATTAAGGGTAAATGGGATAACTTAAAGAGGGATGCTAGAAAAGTATCTAAAAATTTAATGGATGTGGATCATGATGATTTTGATGAGATCACAAGCCAAATAGTTAATATGCTTGTAGAAGCTGAAAATACTAGTGAAATAAAAGACTTTTCGGAAGAACTCAAAGGTATTAATGTATAATTTAAAATAAATTTAGTTAAGCTTGTAATATGTTTCAAGAACTAGTATAATTAAAAATTTGTCACTTTGAAATAGAAAATATTTTCAGAGACAAATTTTTATTTATTATTAATCTAATTCAATTAATTAATTGAATTTCCAAGTTACTGGTTTCAACAAGTTATTCAGGGAGGCTGAATATTCATATTTGGTTGACTTCTTATTCAGAGCAGCCCTAATTTTTGCATATTAAGTTTTAGATATAAAAACAGTTTATTATAGAAAAATATTTAAATGATCGTCAAAAAAATTGTAATGGTCCACCCAGGATCATTTACTTTTTTTTGAGGATTGTTTTAAATATGAGCCTTATTTTTATCATAATACAATATAAGTACTCACCAAATCAATCTTTATTAATATTACAGTTTTAGAAGAGGAAGATTCAAAAATACCAAATCATGACACAGAGAAATACTGGGATGAAAATACTAACAAAGAAATTAATGCCTCAATAGGTATAACACTTCTTTACCTAAATTAGAAGAAATAATTTATATATGAAGTTTTATATTTAAATGATTATAAAATATTTTTTTAAATATATGTTGAGATAAATTCTAAGAAATACTATACAACCACTTTAACAACTAAATCTAAATTTTATGAAACAAATCCTATTTTTAATTAAAAGTAATTTTTGTTTATTTATTAGTTACTTAAAAAAATGTTTTATTATTTTCAGAATATGGTGTTAAACGAAGGTAAGGTTCTGTGATATTTCCTGACTAAGAAATTAAATATATTCATTCATACAGTGTTTACTAATTTTCAAATTATATTTGATATTGCTATATTTAGGTTAGGTGTCAACAGGTCTATGAACTTTACACCAGAAGAGTGTAGTATTCTTCTAAACTGTGTGAGACCAGAGAAGAAATATATATTTAGCAAAATTCACACAGGCAAGGCTATTAGATTGAAAAATCAGGCATGGATACGGGTAGGTACAGGTTAACCTAGTAATAGTATTACATAGTTGCCTTTCTACAATTAGAGATACTAACAGAACCTAGTTCAAGTTTTTGTAAATAGTAATTGTGAATTATAAAAAAAATAGTTTTAATTTGTTATTGTAAAATATTCATACCATTATGAAATGAAATGAAAATATACTTTATTCAAATTGACTTATTGAAAGTTCTTTTGAGTTGTCATAATAATTATTTTCTCTTACCACTATACTTACATTATGTATGGTTACTACTATATGGCAGATTATTTAATAGTACATTGTAGTATAAACTTCTACATTTTAGGTTACTCGCTGTTTCAACAAGATAAGCCCACATAAAAGATCAACTAAAATGTTACAAAATAAATTCACAAACATGAAGAAACTAGTAAAAAAAGAAACCAGTTCATTTTTCAAGAATGTTGATGACAAGAAATATACAAAATCAGAAACTGATAATAATACTGACAAGGTTTACATTTTTTTTAGTTATTATTTTAGCAGTAGATAAAAGAGCAAAATCGTTTATTATTTAGATTGTGGGAGGGAGGAGCTTCGTGGTGCAGATAGTTAGTGTTCGGTCTAGGATCTTGGATGTTAATCAACTTTCGCAATGGCTAGTTATTGGATGGGTGACCAAAAACTTATATCTCCAGCTCTTGGGTGCTTCAGAAGGCAAGTTAAGCTGTTGTATCACGGCCCAATCTTCCTATTTCATCCATAGCAAAAGTCTGTACTTCAACAAGGGTCTTTAAGAAGCTGATGATGATTAGACTAATGATTTGTAATATTAATATATAAAACAAACTCTTCCTACAACAAAAACAGTATTTTTTTAATAAGTATAAATAATACCAGTGGGCTTTCTTCATTTATGTTTAACAATAAATTTTAATTGCCTATTTATCAAATTTTTTAAATAGTTTGGTACCATTTCAGAAAATTAAAGCAGAGCCAACATTTTGTTTAGAAGATGAGATTGAGGCAGATCAAGATGTTGATGACAATGGGCAGGTAGAGGAGTTAGTTGATGAATCTACTGACAATTACGGACACCACAGTGACAACAATAGCAATCATGAAGCACCAGACCCTCTCTCCACAGTCCTTAGCGGAGATTCTGGTTTTGGTAAGTTTCCATACATTATATATAATGTTGTATTAGAAAAAAATCCACTGGTTTTTGGCTTCCAGTGTCTGCTCGGGTAGCGGTAGATGCAGGTTCGAATCCCATCTAAAACTTGGACCGAGTGGTTGTTTTTTGTAAAAAAATCTTTAGATTTAAATTTCTAGCAGTTAAATGCTTAAAAATGTAAATATAATAGGTTTGTTATTTACACTTAAATAAAACACTCGAAATCCTGTTATTGTACAAATAATTATTTATGATATTTTTTCTTGTGGGTTAATCTGAAATCAGTCATTTAATAATTTGCTGGATGGCCCTAATTGAAATTTCTATAACTACTAGCGCACCCAGAAAAATTCTTACCACCATAACATTAGGGATTGATGGTAGAAATGTGCAAATAGGGTTGTATGTATATTTAATGCCCATTATTAATAATTATTCTTAAAAAATATAATATAAAATGTCCAAAAATAAAAATAAATGGGGTGAACAACCCTTATCACTTACGGGTGTAAAAATAACTATACGTCCTATTCTCAGACCAAGTGAATATACACATAAAATTGGTCAAGCCGTTTGTGGATTTTGCTTCCTCTGTCCGTATATACGATAGCCAGATGTTGGAATCTTGAAATCCGATTGCGATCCTTGTTTAACTCTATACCCATATAATACTTATTAAAACATAAAAAACTGTTTAGGTTTTATTTCCATGGACCCACCATTTGGCAAATCCGATAAAAATAAGGATATCATAAAATTGAAGATGGAATTACTGCAATGCCAGTTGGAAACAGCAAAAGTAAGTATTTTACGAGAGTATTTTTTATAATACATATATATATATAAAGAAAAAACCCTCGTGTTTGTTCTGTGTGACGTGCCACGGAATGGTATGTGAGGCTATTATTTCAATATTTCCACCAATTGAGGATATTATATTACTGGATGGATGTCCAACCACTTATTATCTCGTGCTCCTACGTGCTTTGGACGGAGGCACGTTAAACCATTGGTCCCGGATGCATAATCAATAATGACTTACAATCTAACATTAACTTATAACAAGACTATATTTAGCCAATTTTATAATAAGCATATAAATCGGTCGCACATTATGTTAACTGCGAGTTCAATAAAGTTTTTTTAGACACATTTTGATTAATCATTGTAAACAGCGCCATCTGTGCGGCGCGGATTAGAAAACATATGGCAGGCTCCATTTGCCCTTTATTTTTCTAATAACCCCAACATAAGTTCCGGTATGTTAAATTTGGAATTGTTATGATTACGACTGCCTATTGTTATCGAATGTAAATATTCATGTCGATCGGCATGATTCTCTAAACTTAAAGGAGACAGTTCAAATTTGTATGGAAGGTGGTAGTGAGTCTCCGTCAAGTAGTGTACTTGACGTGTAAATAATTTGACATAAACTAGAAATATTACTGTTTTTTTATAATAATTATCCCACCAAAAACATTCTGTAAAAAAACTAGCCAAGTCTCGATGGAGCTGCTTGTTTATCTCTAAAAAGTTTTTTTTTTTATAGATAGGTCCGACAAATGACTCCACCCCACCTGATGTTAAGTGAAGGTGAAGTCCAGACGCGAAGATAGCTGATACAGCAGTTCTAACTGCCACACAAGCCATCCTCACCCTGCCGGCCTGCATGTTGCTTCTTCACCCTCTTTTAAAGGATCCCAGGTTGTAAGAGGGAGAACACGTGAGCGGGCAGAGCATTCCATTTACGGATAGTACGACAAAGAAATGAGTCACCAAATTTCTTTGTTGTTTTTAAATACGCGTTGGAATTGTGGTCACAGTTAGACGGTGGCAACGTAAGTCAGCGCGCGTGGTCCTCTGAAGGAAAGGGGAAGGTGGAATAAGAGAGAATAACTCCTCAGAACACTCGCCGTGGTACAGACGATAGAACACGCTTAGTGACGCCACGTCACGGCGTAATTGAAGAGGCTCGAGGTATTTAGTCACCTCCTCATCGCCTATGATGCGGTTTGCGCGCCGCTGTAACCTATCCAAAGCATCGAGCAAGTACTTAGCGGAGCCATCCCAGAGGTGTGAGCAATATTCCACGCAAGACCGCACCTGCGTCTTATACAACAAGCACAGTTGCTCGGGCGTGAAAAAACGCCGCACCTTGTTCAGGACTCCGAGTTTGCGTGAGGCTGTTTTTATCACACTTTCGATGTAATTCTTAGGATTTCAGTCACAGCGAATCTCCATACCGAGGATGGTGATACTGCTCTCTAGCTCCAGTGTTGTGCCCTGAAGAGAAGGACATAAAAGGAATGGCGACGTTTTTGCCGTGAAAGCGCATGCATGGGATATGCTACAGAGAAGAGCTCTGCCGAATATGGAGGGTATCCAGTCGCAAGAAGACCTTTTTTTGTTGTTGCAACGAACATGGGCGGCCATTCCACAGCGTGATTTGGATGAACTCATTTTGAGTATGCCAAACCGATGTTCTTGTGTTGTTAGTGTTCGCGGTAGAAATACGGATTATTAATTGTTTAAGTTACCCAATAAAATTTTAGAGAAAACTGTTATTTCAGTCTTTTTTTCGAACTTTTGTGTTAGTGGTTCAAATGTCAAAAATCCCTTTATTAGGAAAATGGCAAATTTCTTTATTAATGCAAAGGTGACTTGGTTTATCGTTACTGTGACAAACGAAAACACTTTATTTGATGAATCCTTAAAGAAAATTTTAATTAATATCAATCAGGAGAAAAGTTATTGCAAAAATATATGTTGATCCCTAGACACTTTTGATGTGTGTATATACGCAGCTGGGATAGTTAAGGTAGCCTGTGTCAGCAGGCGGAAGTATTTGTGTCTCCGTCAGGAACAACAATGCTGGCCGTGCTGTCTCAAGATGGTGGTGGACAGCATTGAGGTTAGAGTGGAGTCCGCGTATGTTACAGAACTCGACCTCAAACAGCGTTGAAGGCGTGGGGGTGTGCACCGCTGTACGTCCAAACTTTGTTTTGAGAGCTGCCATTATGGAAGTGATAAAGAGACGTGAAACGAGTGGACGTTGTCGCGATAAGACCGGGCAAATTAGGGAGGCATGTTTCCCCGAATAATTGCCTGCCTCGACCTCAAACAGCGTTGAAAATGTGTATCAAAGTAATGAAATCTAGACAAAGTCGTGCCAAGTCTAAGGTTCCTTACTGCGATTTCTTTATTATTATAGTTAATGTTGTGTGATGGCCATTGAAGGGTACACAAGGGTACAAAACCAGGTGCTACATGACACCATTGTGTGGCCAAGTCACACAACATTAACTATAATAATAAAGAAATCGCAGTAAGGAACCTTAGACTTGGCACGACTTTGTCTAGATTTCATTACTTTTTAGAGATAAACAAGCAGCTCCATGGAAACTTGGCTAGTTTTTTACAGAATGTTTTTGGTGGGATTTCACTTCTTTTTGTAGAAACGTGGGCATATTGATTTATTTTATTAGATTTTCTTATTTGACACATTTCTTTTCTTTTTAGGAGTAGTCTTTTTATTATTAGAAATCTTTCTTTTCTTTTTTCCGGTTCTGATTCTTGAACATTAGCAACAGCTTTTCGTATTGCCCATTCGGGTCCTTTATTTTTTTTACACGGTTTAATTTCTGAAAGATCGGCGCGGTATTTATCCCTAAGCCGGTTGTATTCGGTGATCGCTGAAACTTGAGCTTTTATACTCTTGAAGTCAACATTTATAAGGTGCACCCCATGAAGATTGGTTACTCATGAAAGCGCCACATAGGCTTGGCCACAAGAGAATATGGAGGTGCCAATGTCCATGAGGGTATTTTTTAGACTTAGATCTGGGTATCACCGCCACTCTTAGTCCAAAGCATTATATTTTGACCAAATTTTGAGCCAAATTAATATTTTAGTGTAATTTGTAAATTTAATTTGTGTAATGTTCGAGTAGAATAAAGTTAATCGTTCGACTATTTTTTCTTGTAAACTCGTAAGTATAAGTATGAAAGCCAGTCTAGTGTTATCCAGAGTTTTCGTTTAATTTTATTTAATGCGTATTAAAAGTAGAAGGGGAGGCATTCGCCCAGCAGTGGGACGCTATAGGCTAGATTAAATTAAAAGATGTGTACCACTACGCTGGATTTTTGCAATGACAGTCGATTTTTTTGTGTACCAATAGTAGAAGGGGGTATTACCATATCTCTAATCCAGTTGAGACCAGCTGAAGTTTCTTCATCAGATACTTCAGACCTTCGAATTTTGACCCACCAAGTTTAATATTTTTTATAAAGGCGGTATATCGATCTCTTCTAATAGTTTGGTTGGGCTCTTGTATTTTCTAATCAGAGTCACCAGGTACTCCAGATCTTCGATTATCGATTTTAAGTATGTTACTATAGCTTACTAGATGATGAAAATTTCAGCGTTCTGGTCTTATCCAGAGGTTCTCAAATAGGGGCATGAAAATGTGGCGAAATGGTTCCAGTAAAGGATGGTACGGTAGTGTTTGCTTCGCGCTTGACTTGTCGGGGGCACTGCGGTGCCCCCCGATAAATCCATAATTATTGATTGGAAAAAGCAATTTTATTTATCTACTGTTTGCTGCCGAATCATCAAACATATTCTATTAAATATGTTACTAAAGCGGTTACAATTATTCTGTACATCTCTATATATGTTGATAATTATTTTGTGTCTATTTTATTTCAAGACGAAACATTAATTGGCACAATAATTTCACAACGATTTCACGAATATCATACAATACTGGACTTATTGACGTTTGACATAGTGATTGAGTTGACGTTATAGGTTGCCACAGACTAAAAATATGACGTTACTTAAAACACGATTTAAAATTATTACTTACATAAAACAAGCTTTCAAATGATATATGTTTCATCGCTGCCGGAAAACTACCTTGAACTCTCTTTTGAACTGTCTCCTATGACAACAGTGTATTGTTGTCATTCTGTATACAGAATGAAAAAGAGAGACTGATGTTAAATTATATTTATTATGACAGATTTAAGAATTCTTCAAAACTCGATGATTTTATATTGCAGTTGGAAAAAGAAAGAGTAGAACGATCTATGCGCGCAGAAACAATGAGAAATGATTCGAGAGCGATAGAGATGGCATTACGCCTTCGCTCTGCAAGACTAGAATCTATATCTGCAGCAATGAAACTGCCACCAGGCCATCCTGCCTTACTTTACACCCCTGAAGAAGCAAGGGCACAACATTATCTGAGCCAATATCACCAGACTTGAGGAAACAACCATCGTTTTTCATTGAAAAATATTCAAGCCTGCAGACTGAAGTATGCAGACAGTATCGAGGTGTTTGGACCTCGATGATGGAAGAAATGTTGAAAATAAAGAAGTTTATTTACTTGCCTGTCGGCGAAGAATCCGTGGAGGTTATTTTAATTTTTGCATATATTGGATGCAACCATTTTTTTTATTTTATAGTAGACATATGCTTTTGATTTAAATATAAAAATACTTTTGTTTAAAATGAAAACAACCAGGTAGATACGAAAATTTGTATATTTTACTTGATTGCGTTTTACAAGATGATTAAATTACAATTCAATAAAAATTATTATTTTTAATATGCATTTGTACAATTTCATCTATACCTAACTAAACTACGACGACTATGAAATATATTACACAACACTACATAATATACAACATGTTTTTACACTGATATCATACCCTACATCTATCTACGCCATATTTATAAAGTACAAAATGTAGGTACGTACATACATACAGTAACGCTATTGTAGTTAATAAATGTCATGACAAGCCACGTGGATTAATAAAAAACACACGGATTTTAACATAATTTAGAATAATTGAGCATGTCCAACGGTTGAGTCAGTCGTGTTATTCTAATTACGGCTTTATGCACCTGCCACAACCTACACATTCGAAAATTATTAGCGATAAAACTCAGAACAATTTTCTAGGATTTGATCACTAAAAATTCTTATGTAAAAGTAGATAATGCTGTTGCGTATTATGTATGTCTTGTTCGAGTTAAGATAAGTTTTCGATATTTTTCTTTACCATTAAACAGTAGCTGCCGTTAGAGACGCTTATCTGCAACGGAGACAAAAAAAGACTTAATTTTCAAATACTTCCAAAACTCGTTCTTGTCAAAATGTTCTAATAATTTTTAAATGAATACTTTTCAGTTTATAAGTACTTATAACGTGTCGCAGAAAAAGATGTGAAGGAACTTTGTAAAATTACATTTTATTGTAACTTCGATGTTCTATGGTCCGATTTACAGATATTTTCTCTTAACAAACTATACATCAATTACTCTGATATATATTGATTGTTTATATGTAAACTGAGCACAATGAATTAGGAAGCGCGTTTTTTATTGCATTGTTATAGCAATAAGAGGTTGTATGTGATACGTCTGTGATATTTAAAACAAATAATTTTCAATACTTTTAATATAATTTTACCTTTCCATTCGTAACGTAACATTTATCTTGTTTCAATATCTATACATAACTGCGCCTGCGCACACATATCTAATTTTAGTTAACCATCGCGGAAATATGATGCTCACAGCATAATTGAAAATCAGTCAATCGGCAAATATGCGTTACTAAGTACTACTTAATTTAAAACGGAGCAATGTTTCATGCGTGGTCGAAGGAGCAAAGCCCGTCCACGTTCCAGCGACGAAACAAAGTCGCACATCAATATTCACATACACATTCTACATTAGTTACGATTATTGTTGCAAAATTGTATAAAACTGGACGGACAACTCAACTCACTACGGCAAATGAGCATCCAGCACTCTAAACTGTCACAAATCCCGTTTGAAAGGAACAAAAGAACTTAAGTAATCGCAGCCTTCTCTTTAAATGTATAATGCTAATCTAAAATAGAAACTCGGTTATTTGTCTTCGCGTTGGCAGTATTACGTTCTCCGTATTGTACGACCTATCTCAATGTTTTCTTTGGTAATGAAGCGAACCTACGCTCGGCTATAAATTTGATTCGCGAGCGGTAAGCTTGAGTGCCGTCGTGGCACCGCGTCTCTATGATTTACAACGATTAAATCAGAACATTCAATATACTCCATCGTGAAAATAGTCTCCTATAGCTGTCGCTTCCAGCGCAGTCCCCATATTGAAGACACTGTTGTGTGAATAACATAAACAACTTTTCGCATGGTCCGTCCATGCGTTTCGAAGCCAAAGACTGCCTCAGGAATCTTCAGCCGTTTGGGGTTTCGCCTTCTGGGTAGGCTCAGTACTTTCATTGCGTCCTCATAACGCGTCTGTTTGTTTTATATCTGTAAGGCGGCTAATGAGGGCGTACCGCTGTTGCTGTGAGGGGTAAGGGGGGTTAATGGTGTAGTGGGTGCGGAAGGGGGGACTGCAGTGGCGGGGGTAAGAGGGGTGTCAGCCATGGGGGGGTCTGCAGCTCTAACGAGGACCCTTCGTAGTTCCTGAGCGCGGGCTGCTAGTACTTTGGCCGCTTCTGCCATTTCTGCGACGGCGCTCGCGCACGGAAACTGTTGCGCGGCCGCCTTAGTTTTGGCCACCGTTGTGGCTAATGCGTCTGATAGCGCATCGGAGCATCGCAGCGCTCTGGACTTGAGACTCGCGTGTTGGGCGCTCCTGTTGACAAACAGATTTGTATGCTTATTAAAAATATAACTATTGACGTCATGTAGGAGTTTATCCTTATAACTGAACTCTGTAACCTTTTATGACTAAACTGTGACATTAAGTGCCTGCGCTGCATTAAGGGGGAGCACATAGCGAGCGTCCGCTCCGCGTGTTTCCTTCATGTCATTTCCTATAGAACAGCGCTGCGTGAAGCGGGTATCCCTTGCAGCGCTGTTCTATGTAATGACATACAACTGCACGCGACACGAACGTCCGCTCCATGCTCCTGCTTAACGCAACACAGGCTTTTAAAGCTGCAATCAGAGATACCTACCAATTTTCATATTTGTCAAAATAACCTGTTGGTAATATCTAGTACAAGTAGTTATTGAGGGAATTCAGTCAACTGACCTATGTACCGTGTCGCCGACGTGCACGATCCGGTGCGCGCTCAGCACTAGGAACTTGCCGTGCGCCAGAAATACGTCGGGTGGTTGACCCATCTCGACGGTGCGTAGGAACGCTTCTAGTGCGGTCGATAGGTGCGCCCCATACGTGGCGGTCTGCGCTGCGTAGAATGCGGCTAACTGCCGATCGTCAGCGGGTAAACGGGTCGCTGCAGCTACTGCGCTAACCTGCAATTAGAGAAAATTCTTTCTTTAGGTTCTTTATTCACAGAATAGTGCATTCGGTACAAAGGGAAACGAATTTGCTCCACCAATACGTTTCCCTTTGTAGCGAATGCACGTGCTTACTCTATCACACAATCTTACACTTTAGAAAGGGAGCTATCATTGGCCAGCATGATGACGACAAACCGATCCGGCCAATGGCAGAACATTTTAGCTTTAGTTAAATAAATATTTTTAACACTCATACCAAGCTCCAAAGTTAGCACTGAGAGCCTGCGCTGCCTTAAGCGGGACACGGAGTGGAGCAGTTTTTAATGTCATTTTATAGAGACCCGCCTCACGCAGCGCTGCTCGATGAAATAACATTAAAACAAATGCGCCGGGCGGACGCCTTCTCCGTGCCCAGCTTAACGCAGCGCACGCAAAAAAAAGGAGTTTAACGGATAGAATACATATACTGATGCATAGATAAGTATATTTTATGCAGAAATACATATAAACCTCCATGACTTAGGTGCTAACGCTCGTATTCGCATATAACATTTGCCCCACCGAGATTTGAACCCGGGACCTCTCGAGTCAGCGACACCATGAAACACGGCGTACAAACCACTCGGCCACGGAGGTCGTCAAAAAAGAGTCGCTGAAAATGATTTGCTACTCACTTCTCCCGCGTGGTCGGCGTCCCTCACTAGCGCGTCGAAGGAAGCACGCAGTTTGTCCGGCAACGCGGCGCGGATCGCCGCGTGGCGACGTCCCACAGCCGTCCGCGACTCCAAGCGTACGTAGTCGTACTCTTCCGTCCATTCGTGGTCGGGCGCCGATACGGTCGCTGACCGCCTATGAAAAAGGTTAATAATGACGTTAAAAATTTTCTTTTTTGCCATAATATCTATTAATGCATACATGGAAATATTGCACGCGTTCACATTACTAACCTAAACAGTAAAGAAGCGTTGCCATTGATGAACGACGCAGCCCTCCTCACGTCTTCAGTCAAAGACCGCGCACACGCCACCAGTTGGTCGAGCGCGTCTTGTGTCCCGTCTGTTGGTTCCCGATCCCTCTCCAGGCGTTCCGGCGCCCAGTCGCCCGCGTCTAGTGCGCTCGTCGCCTCGTGCGTTATACGTTCCGCGTCCTTCAAGGCTTTCACTAGTGGCCTTAATTTTACTGCGATACCTGTAAAAAAAAATACTTTTAGAACGTTGGTAGAAATGACAGCAACTGTGATATTCGTAGGACTAAACGAAGGGCGCTGAAGACCAGGGCACTTGCATGTTATAGGAGTGACCTATGTCTAGCACAAGGGCGGATCCAGCTTTGGCGCCAGGGGGGGGGGGGTCATATAGTCGTGGCCAAGTCACAGTGGGTACAGATTGTGAAGTGGGTACAGATGGACCCAGCCCAGGGGGGGTCATGACCCCCATGACCCCCCCTCTGGATCCGCCCTTGGTCTAGCAGAACTAATGTAAGACTAATTCGTTCGAGATTTTTTCCACAAGAGGTTTTATAAATCTTTTACCTTTCTTTAGGATTTTTCACGCTAAACTCTGAAACTTATCTTTTTCCATTGACATTTAAGTGGCACCTGAGAAGGTCTCCTACTAAAGCAATGTTTTCTTTTACCTGACGAAGACGGATGATACTAATAGGAAGGAAGAAATAGTTTTAAATTCATTGTGTAGTCATAAGAGCGTTAAAATAAGCATCGAACCTTTGTCTTGCGCATCGTGCGCATTGGCCAGCGTGGCATCAGCGAACACGGCGAGGTCGTGCAGCGCGGCCCGCAGGCGCGCGCCCGCCACGCGGACGTCCAACACGCGCGCCCGCAGCGCGCCGCGGCGCCGCCAGCCCGGCGTCACGTACGATAGTAACCTCGACACCGCTGCTGAAGCCTCCTCCTAAAGAATTAAACGTCCGGTTAACGGTGAACCTTAAAAGTACTCAATAAAACGGTGTCGGAGTTACTGTAAGCTCGTATAAAAGTTTTGTTTACTTTTGCTCGAAATAGGAACGAACGATAGATACATATAGCTACTTACGTTCTTTTATGTATAAGACATATCCCATTCATTGAAAACACTACTCAACTTCACTGAAAATTTACAGCAGTACAACTCACTTGTAATCTTTCCAACGCTTCAAGCGCTGCGTCGCACGGTAGGGGTAACGCGCGCGACCTCGGCACATCGTAGGTGCTTGAAGCCGACGCGGCAGAATGTACTGAGCTTCCGGAGTTCGCTGAAGCGCTCGAGGTGGCAGAAGCTAAACTGCCGGTGCCGCTGCAAGCGGAGTCAGCGCTTGCGGGCCGTGGCGCACGTGGCGCATCGTACCAATCCGTCAGCGGCCGCGGGCAGTCGTACGTTCCTATACGATTCACTGGCATCGGCGTTCTAGGCACATCGTAGTGCGAACATTCCTCAATCTAGAATAGGAGAAAAACCTAAATTACCACCATTTAAAGCAAAAACCATTAACGTACGAATCGCCAATCGAATTATGTAAGAGAAATGCAATTTCCTTTTAAATGGATAACCGTATTATAAATAGTATATTCGATCAGAAATAGTTCTAAAGAAAGCTAATCAACAAGAGGAAATATAATTACTGAGAAAGTGCGTTCTTTGTACTAATTATTTACCGGTAATTCTTTTAGTTCTGCTATTATTTTAAAAGCTTGGGAATTTTTGATAAGCTTATTTGTGTTGTGGTGTCAATGAAAAACGAGCTCAGAGCAGTCCGTCGGAGGAAGTTTCCTGCCACATGATTATTAAACTACAACCAATTAATACGATGGTTTCTAAATATAAATTTCACTAAAACAATGATCCCGACGCTGACGTGTGGTTACGTCGATGTCTTGCAATAAATACGATATTCAGAATCGTGGTTTTCGTGTCCGGGAAATGCCGTTTCTGTAGCATTACGTATTTAGAAATATGGGAATTGTCTCATAGTCTACCGGAGATATGCTTTTTACCCTTACTAAATAAACAAGAAGCAAATGGAAAGGTTTTCGAGTGGCGATCAACGTACCGGACGACTCTCAGTGAGCAACCCCCGGACCGTGGATGCGGACACCTTAGGAATAGGACGAAGCAAAGTTCTATGTAAAACCACAGACAAATAAACTTGCAGGTTTAAAAAAAACTTCCTTGTCTGTCGTCGTTGCTCAAGAAGTTTGCCGGGAGGTATACGATCAACGTGGAGATCGGATAGCCCTAGGTTCAGCAGTGGCCGCGTTATGATTGGATGATAAGGATTACCTTGGTAAAAGCTGGCGACGGTTGCACGGGCAGTGGTTGGTGGGCGATAGGCGGGGGCGGTCGGGCGCGTCGCCGCTGCATCGCTGAGCCCGCGTCGAACACGCCTGCCACTATCCGCAGTCTGTTCCCCGGGCATATTCCCTGCGAACACACATTATTATATAAATTATATTTGTTTTGTCCAATTAAACAACAATAATAAAAGTGAAGGAAGGCACCTTAAGCCGTTGATCCCGGCTGCATCACTTGTTAGCATCCACTAATCCGCATTGGGTCTGCGTGGTGGATAATGGCCCAATCTCCCTATTCCATCCATATGGAAGGCGTGTGCCCCAGCAGTAAGGATATTAGAAGGCTGATGGATGATGAATATAAGTGAGACAACACCGCTTTAACTATTGTTTAGACAAAAGACAAAGTATCTGAAGCACTTGTGCCACAGCTTGTGCTGTCATGTCATGGCAATCTGGACCGAATTAAAGAAGTTCCGTTCTCTTCTACTGACACGTCGACATGAGGCAACACAGAAAATTTCAGTTTCAAAATTAAGACGGCTTTCATTCATTCCGGGACTCAGGATTCTATTGAATCTGGTATGTAAGCAACTTGACCACGGTGCTGATAATGGGGAATGATTATAGTTATTAGATAATAACTACCTACTGTTCGATGCTAGACCGTTAAAAAATAAAGTTTCTGTAATGTGGTAAGGGCTGGATTTAGAGGTGTGGAGGCCCCGGGGCATCGAATCTGTGCCCTATTTTCAAATCTAAAATCTGGAACTTCGAGTCACTTACGATATGCCCCTTCCCCCCCCCCCCCCCCCAACCCTACCTTAAATCCAACCCTGAATGTGCTTATGAAGTTATCGAAGTCCTTTATAGAGCAGTGCTAACAGCGGGCGCCAGTTCTCAATCCTTACCAATTCTAGGAACATGTGTCATAGTTCGATATTAATGGCTCAACCACAAGCACAACGAATTACCATATAAATTTTGATTATAAATTGTTTTATCGGCCTTATTCATGACGCTAACAGAGGGACTACGTGAGACGCGTCTAATTGAACTGAACGTAAGTGATTATTTATACCTACTGCATCGATGACCCGAGATGTGATGTGTCATCATTACTGTTCAGTTTTTGCCTCTTGCGGTCAGTGTAGTTTCGTTTGTATCTTTGTTTGTGTAACATTGAATATGACCCAAACACCCACATAGTAATTCCATTCGCATCAATCAGAGTAACTGGATATTTTATCTATTAGACGATGATCCTTTTGGGTTTATTTTAACTCACTCCGTATGCCATTTAATGGTCATGCATATTAATGTAGAGAGGTACAGTTTTTCATAAATTAAGGGAATAATTTATACCAAATCTATATATGCTATCAGTAGCATAGGGTGGATTTCAACTGCTAACCTTATACTCCCACGGGAGCTGGTCTAATAGCACAACGTTAAAAAATGCAGTTCTCCTGGGTGTTAAAAAGTGCCTGGAGCATTTTAAATTACTTTAGTATCACGAAAACTTAGGTAATGCATTGTGAACCCAAGCTGAGAGGAATCATGTTATTATTCGCAAACCTATTTAAATAATTATAGAAAACCATGTACCTGTCTTCCTCTTAATGAGCACAACCACCAGCCCTCGCTGCCGCCGGTGTTCTGCTCGAGCACAGTGAGCAGGTCGCCTCGCCGGAACGCGAGCTCGTCCGGCGACTCGGCGATGTTGTCGTACAGAGCGCGCGCCATGCACTGTAACAAACAAAACGTAACTTTAGAAATAAATACATAGATAAATATAAAAGTAATATGCCTGGGTAATTCTAAAACATTTATATAACAAAAACTTAAAAAACTACTTAGTATCCCAATTACCTTAACCTACTTAAATTAATAATTTACAAAATAAAAAATATGTCGCCCCTAGGGCTAGCGCCGCCGGCAGGAATGGTGCCCAATAGGTTGGCAGCATTGCCACGTTGGATGGCAAGGCTGATCCGTTGATCAAGATAAAATTAGCGTTTTATTATTGCCAAATGAGGTTCAGCAAACCCGAACAAACACTGGGAGAAATAAAGGAAAGGTAAAGGTAATACGTAACGTATATAAGCCTTTTAGAATTTTGGAAAAGTCCATCGATGAGCTAACCAACTTACAATTACATATTTATTGTATCTCGGACACTTTTAATCCTGCAAGTGATATTACATTGCGAAGAAGATTATGGCATGTAAGTATGTTATTTGAGATTTCATCAAAGAAATAAAACGAAATCAAAGAGCAGCAGCCGTAGGTGTGTTGAGATTGAGTACATATTTATCTTCAACTCTCGCTCGACGGATTACCTTTTAGGATTTAGGAAGTATTAAAAAGCAAGGACTTTTCTTTATTGACGTTGGTCACTCTCCAAACTACGGAAAGGAAAACAAACTTACGAACAAGATTACGCTAGCCAGTTTTTATAATTTTGAAATAATGGATAAGGTAATTATTTCTTAAATACAAAGAACGCGAACGTGAGATTCTTGAATGGAAAGAAGATTGTATGTAAGTACTATTCACTAAAGATATTTAGAATTTGACAGTAACTTTTCTGAATGCAGTTCTACCTATACTATACGATTAAGAGTCTTGATTTCTTGAATAATGATCGTGCTGTATAATGTGCTTATTAACATTCGACACCGTAGCGCCCACATTTGAGCGCATGCGTTGCGCGCACGCAGCTGCGCCGGCCGGATCGGCTGATAATGGCAGAGCGCATTGTGCAAGAGTGCGGTAAGCTACCATTTGTTAGGGCAGGCCATGTCCGCTTCCGACGCAATCATTTTATGCAACCAGATACTGATAACAGGGATCGTATATGTACCTACCTACATATATCAGCCGATACAGAAATAATAATATGTATCTGGCAAAACATAATTAATTCAAATATGAACACCACGAAATATGTTACTACATTCCAAATCAAGAATAACGTGTTTCATTATACAAGGTAAAAACATACCGCACAAAAACTTAGAATCAAATCATTGAAGTTACAATGGGTTATATTATATTAGTGAAATAAGTAATACAACTAATATATAATTCTTCATTTCTTCAATGATGTTCTTTGAATTGAACTTTGTATACTTATAACTAGTGGACCCGTTACCCTCTCCGACAAGTTTTTATAAAGTAATCCTAATTCCTTAAACGTCACCTATTAGTGTACTGGATGGAGTTGTAAATTAAGTTTTCTTAAATTAAATTGCCTAACTTTTTAGTGTAAAATGTGAGGAATCCAAGCGAAAGAAGGATATATTTTTATATATAGAGATTAAATTGTTGGTAGATAACCCCAAACTATTAAATATAATATAACTATTCATAAAATAAACCACAAAAATTACCAACCTTATTCTTCGAAGTTCGAAAGCTCCTTCTAATAAATCCTTTGCAATTGCACATTATATTTTGTATATTATACTTTTTAATTTGAACAACAGCCACCTTGATACGCTCCACACTTATTGCACTCATTTAATTTTTTTTTCAAGTCAACAAATCGGTAAAGTTGTAAGTATGTTATGCGATGATGTAAGTTTTTGACGCTAAAACAATATTATTAGTTATTTCTATTGACATGTATTCTCGGTTCAAAGAGAGCTATGTAACTGAAGGATCTGGGGTCTACATCGCCTTCTCATTTAATCGAAATAACAAAACTATATTAATATATAATTTCAATAGAACTGGCTGCGCGGGCGCGTGAGTAATCATCAATGAAGTGACGTCATGAACTGAAGTTCAATCACTGCAATGCAACATTGTATGTTATTAATTTTATTGTATACATATTAACCGAATTGGTTACTTAATAGGTTTTTTATTGTTTTGTGTATTTATCATTAAATTATCCCTTTTAAATAACTTATCTAAATATACTTAGTACCTAAAACTAAAACATAATAAATACTGCCTGTTCCTCTATATTCGATTCAATTACAATTCAATATGGAAAATGTAAGGAAATATTCTAGCCCTCCATAGGTAATTGTTAGATTTAGGCTTTTCTTTTTTATGTTACGTATGTAATATGTAATCTTAAAATTACCACGGGTGACATTATCCATCGCTGACTAAAAAGTACAAAATTACATACGTATAACTTATAAAAGAAAAGCCTAAATCTAACAATTACCTATTGAAGGGCTTGAATATTTCCTTACATTTTCCATATTGAATTGGGTATCTTCCTAGCGCAACTTTCTTACTGAGCTTTTCTAAAATCATTCCGCGGTCTTACGAGATGACGAAGATGCAGCCGGATGCTTGCAAGGTTATGTTATAGTGAATCATGGCGCCCGGGCCGTGGCATCGCTAGTGAATTCGCAGAATTTGACTGGTAGATATATGCGACCTTTTGAGAACCTTGCATGAATTTTTCAATATTCTGTACATAGCAAGTCGATGATCAAAAAAACTTGGATCGTCTAAGCTTATCTGCCAAATAAGGTGCCTACCTACCTGATTGTAAGTTTGATTTCCCTAATAAAGGCCGCGTTTTGCAATAACTAGTTAAATTTGACTAAACTTACTTAAAATACAAAAAAAAGAACTATAATATTATATTTAATATGTTTATCAAACAATGCGGCCTCAGTTTAGACTAGTTCACATTACGCAGTGTTTTATTTTCTTTTTTTGTGATTTGATGAAAAAAGACGAAACGCAAACTTACTTAAGTAAGTTTTAACTTAACTCGATTTTGAGTGACCTTCCTTGTTTGTCAATCCTTGAGCAATTGCTAGTAATTCATTCAACCTTATTCCAACTTTTTCCTGTTTTCGATGTGAAATTATAATAAAATAAATATAAGTGACCGCAGCTCCAATAACATCATTCAATAGTTTAAATAAAGCAATGACTCCGTTTAGTTCTTAGTTTTTTGTAAAGGCAAGATTTTAAATGGAAAAAAGCTCATCTCGTGTTGTAGCATTTTAAAGTTCACTCTATACCATACATACTAAGGATAATGGAAATTGGGACAATAAGGAAATTAGGTACCTTAGAATTTACACACTGGCACTTTGTTTTGGTAACAACACTAACCAAACGTAACCGAAAATCGACCAAGTCGATGGTTCATATAAAATATGCAAAAAAAAACGACGGTTTGCACTCCGGGAGTGCCGGCAGAAGTGAAAACTTGAATATTAACGTTGTGCATTTTTGATAATTTGGAATGGTTAGGGAATAATTTTGCACGAATTGCTTTAATTATCAGTTTAAAAGTACTATCATGTATGTGGTAGAATACAATATTTATTTATTGCGCTATCGTACACAGACATGACAATTTACATTACATTAAAAAAGTTTATCTCTCAGAAAAATCAACTTACATAAATCACGTTTAAGCGTACTTAGCGACATCTATTGTAAAGAAATCAACTTACATGAATCATATTTAAGCGCACCTAGCGACATCTATTGTAAAAAAATGCATTTTCTTCGCAATAAAGCTGCCACGTGGACGTCCTTCATAGAGACTTATTATTATAAAACGATAAAATAAAATATTACTATTTTTCGTTCACTGTATTGAAAGTCAACAACCTTTCCAATTTTATTGTGTGTCATGATGCGATCAGCCCACGTGTTTAACCTGACGCGAGTTTAACATTTTTTACCCATACCAAAAAAGTTTAAAACGCCGCTAAAGAAGTTTTCACTTCAAAAAATTAAGTCCTGCGCACCCTTTCGGTTACCTCAACCGTATATTATTTATTACCTACCTATTATCAATATACTTACCAATCTTACTTTAAGTGCCTATATTATATTGTTTAAAAATAAAACAAGCTACAAAACCAATATCAAACCACAACGTGGGTGGGTAAGTAAACGGTGTTATTAATATTAATGACTGCATACTAATTCTTTATTTCTCATTCATAATAATAAGTTAATTAAATAGAAAAAATCAATTCGAGTGAGGTGTCCCATTTGCACAATGGTTGGTTCATTCGATCTGTGATTATGGAAGTTAAGCAACTTTTAATCCATCTATTAGGCTCGAGCAAAAAAGGTCATAAGTATCTGAGTTATCCCATGTAAATTTTTAACTTTAGGGATCCTGGATCGAAGCCATTGCCAAATCAAAATCCTGGATACACTACTGACTGATTAAGTAAAAAATAAGTACTCACACTAAGAAGCAAGAGATAACTACGAAGTACAGTAGGCAATAAATTATCTGGTGTTATTTTTTCGACATTTCATTGCCTGTCCTTAAATGTCCGTAATGAATATGGCCACAGCAAATGAATGAATCAGGAAACAGGTCGGCCACTTAAAATAGTCGTAACCGCGATTAATATGTCACACGCTGGCGCCACGTCTAGACGTTTAACTTTGTTTTTTATTTAATTAAACCTTAAAGGCTCGTATCGATCATGATTTACTAGTAAAGCCAATTCAAGTTGAATGAGCAGGTAGGTAAAGTCACAAAATAGTACAGTACAGAAGTTAATCTATATAAAGTGCGCTCGAGGAACGCACACATAGACACCCCTCACGGACACGATATCTCGGACTGCGAAATTTAAAAGAACATTTCAGGCATCATTGCATCTGTGGCTAAGATCTAATTAATATTCCTCATTTGTTTTAACAGAATGGTAATTTGCAGACATAATATTATCAATTTTAAAAGCACATGAAAGAAACTCATGTAAGAGCCTGAATTCTCGGTAACTTGC